CTTTCCCCTTTTACCCAGACTGAGTCTGTTCAGTTTGAGAGTCTGTCCCAGGCAATGTCTCTTTTCTGTTCTGCCCTGTCAGTGTGTTAAAGTGTATCTGAACTTCTGGAAGTCTCAAGTGGTTGTGAGAATATTGCCAGTGTCCCAGCATCTTGCAAGCTCAGATGCTTTTTCACAGCATTTTTTCATATGCACAACTGTGTTTCAGCCAAATAGCTAAAAATTACTAGCTCATCCAAGCATTCAGATAGATTTGATTTGGGAAGACAAGGAGGGAAGGAGCAAATATTCAAATTGTTGCTTTTATCAGAGCTGTTCCCTGATGTGGCCTAAGCAAATGCTTTGCATTTATTCCCAGGAGCAAGTCCCCCAGTATCTTTGCAGGCAGTCACAGCAGTGAGATCTAGTGCATGTATGCAGGAAGGCATGGAAGTCAGCCCTTTCATGATGTCTGACCTGCTGCCACAAAAATACTGGCTGTCTCCTTTAATAAACTAGCAAAACATTATTCACAAAGGTGAGGGCCAAATGAAACCCAAAAAGGAAAGACTGTCTCAATGACATTTTAAAACCATGTGAGCACAAACGAGTGCCTTTCAAAACTTTTGGAAAGTCAGTGTAAAACTAATTATTAGAATTTTTATTTAATTGCATCTTACATCCAGTTTTACTTTTTTAATTGTCTGGTGATACTTGTTCAAAGCTACATTTGTTGGCCTTTGCTGGGAGGGGTGGGATGGGAAGAGCATCTCACTGCAAGATTCAGCATTCAGACTCCCTGACTTCCTCAGGATACTGCTGGAAAGCTGAAGACAGAAGTATTCTTGCAGCAAGCACATCGAGATAAGTAGGGCAGCAGGCATTATGTCTGGAAATACTGCAAAAGGAAGACATGCATTTTCAGGGCCCAGGAAAGGAGCTCACTCCCCTTGGCTTTCCTTTGTAATTCTGCAGCAGCTCGAGCATGTGCATGGCCTGTACAAATGAGAAATGGCAGAAAGGAGAAAGAAGTTGACTGGTGTTTTAACTGGTTTTCTGTAAGAATAAACTGCGATTAGCAGTACAGAACAGTCTTTAAATGGCAGCCTGGGTTTACTGAGAAGGGGAAGTGGAGAAGGGTGAATAGCAATAAACTTGCATTGGTGATCCCCAGTCCTCTCCTGTAAAGTACAAAGCACCACAAAGAAACTGAAGGCTCTTCAAACTCCTGTATATCTTATACTGGTTTGGGATGCTTCAGGATGAGTTAGGCAAGAAAAGATATGCCAAAACAGAAAAGATGAACACTCCAACCAGTCTGTGGGTGAAGTAGGATGCAGGGCTGCAGTTTGCAAGTGTCACTGTAGCAGAGCAGTGCCTCAAGGCTTGGAACAGGAGGTAAGTGGCTGGGAGAAATACATTGACAGATTTAGGTTCTGGACATTAATTCTGATTCCTTGCTTGGGATGACACTTAAAATAGTTGTGTGTGCTGTCTGCATGTCTGAGAGGAATCACTCAAGCTGTTAACTGTTTACTAAGCCCAGCTGCTGCTCCTCCACCTTTTAATTTCAGCACTGCAGTAAAATGGCATCTTAGTCAAAGCCACCCTTGGATTGTTTGCAAAAGAAATACCAAGTTGATTTAAAAACTGTAGTTTTGTAAATGTGAATTGAAATCTCTAATTAATCTTGAAGCTCTACTTATGCAATCAAGGCCTCTGGGGGATTTGGTGATCAGAACAAAAGCCATACTTTTAACTCCATAGTTTTGCAGAAGCCAGGTCCATTTTCCTTCTGGCATGGGAACAGAAGTAGCTTGTAAAGTTATAACTTACACTGACCTGTCTGTCTTGCTGACTGGAAATCATCTCCCCAGCTGAGCTCTTTGCACATCTAACTTGTCGCTTCGTATGAACAGCTGGGGTTTGAATCATTTTACAGATCCCAGCATTTATTCATCTAACCTAAATTTCTAAATAAAAGCTTAATTGGCAGTAAGTGAATACTCTTGCATGCTACATTTGCAGGCAGACATTTTAGAGAAACTGCACTAAAAGTTTTGCAGTTAAACTCAGCATTTTATGTACAATAAAATTCAGCACTTTCATACAGCAAACACTTCAAAACCAAGCCACTTTTTTTCCTATTATTTTGTTGTTAATTGATTAAAAAACAGTATTTAGTGCAGAGTGCACAAAGGAAGATCAGCTCAACTGTGGCAAGTGGAGAATATATCAGTTCTTTTTCCTAGAGAAGTGTTTATTATGAGTCAAAATGGTTGAGTTATAAAACCTAAGAAGTTTTTTTTGTAGAAGGATATTTGATTTTATAGGCATCTGTTAAGCCTGAACAACAGTATGGTGGTGGCCAAAATTTCATATTAAGGGCTTCCCAAAAGGAGCATTGAGAACAATTATTGGACAATTTTTTAAAATAGAAAAGTTGATGTAAAATCTGTCCCTTCAAAGGGGTGTAAAATCCTTCATGGAAGGTTTTACTCCATGAGAGGCATGCAAACTCTCAGGATAAAAACATATTGACAGAAGAAAAGTCTAAGTTGGTCTTAAATTAAAAAAATAAAGAAAATAATGTATCTAAGGAGTATACTATTCTATTCTATCCTCTGTTGGCCTATATTTGATCCATCTTCTTGAATTTTACCAAAAGCAATTTATACGTTCTCTGAAGTGATGGAAGAAATTAAGAAAAATATAAAAGCAAGAGAGGTACTGAAAAAACAGCAGGATGGTTATAGGTTTAGTTAAATAATTTGGGGGCGTAATGCTTCAAAACTTGGAATTTGGTGAAGTTTGAGGAAATTTGGCATTATGTTTTTTGAGATCAAGAGTCATTTTGAGACTTCCTGTATTTTTTTCCTCAATGGGAGCTGGAAATCCTACTAAAACACTCCATAATTTCTCATCTTTGGAAGGGCTTTTTTCTGCTTTCAGACCTCATTCTGTATCACATTTTATCTTGGCTAACAATGCATTTTTCCTTTCCTGTCACATCTCATAACCTACTTTTTTTTAGTAATGCTGTTGGAAACTCGGGGCTCATCCAGCAAAATGCTGTCACTGTTGCACATGACCTACAGAACCAAATGGCTTTGAAATACATTTTTGGTAAAAGATGCTCTTTAAAATGAGTTCAAAAGGCATTTTCTGAACCCATTTGAGAATCTATCTCGATTCAGGGATTGGTTTCAGATAAAATGCCTGTAAGGGAGAAATACAAGTTGTCTGCACTGGACACCCCTGGTGCTGATTTTTACTTTTTGAGAACATGCTTTGGGCAGCTGTGTCTGTGACCTTGTTTGCTAATGACTAATGCATTTTTAACATTACTTTTAATTAGAGTTTTAAGTGTTCCTTGGAGTGTTACTGTAGTGTCTCATTTCTGTCATCTTGCCCTCATTTTGCTTTTTAATTTTTTCGTAGTATCTTTGGAAAAACCTTTTCAGGA